GGAAATGGTCTCAAGTTGTGCCAGGGGAGGTCTGAATTGCATATTAGGAAAAGTGTCTTCCCTGAAAGGGTTGTCAGTCATTAGAACAGGCTGCCCAGGGAAGTGGTTGAGTCACCATCCCTGGAGGTATGTGTAGAGGTGATGCTTAGGGAAATGGTTTAGTGGTGGACTTGGCAGTGTTAGGCTTACAGTTGGACTTGATGGTCTTAAAGGTCTTTTCCAGCCAAAATGATTCTATGGTTCTATGATTCTGTAAGTCAAATGCTTCAGTTAGGAGCTTAGTCATCCTAAACCCCACCTAAATAAGAGAAACAATCACCTTCAAGATGACTGAATTTAAGTGCTTAAAGTTTCATGCAATGAACACAAGCAACATAGCTCATAAATAAAATAAAAAAATAGAACAAGTAGCTAGACAAGTGGCACACTACACACCTATGAACAAAGCTCCGTGACTGTGCTGGCATGGCTAAATCTCCCAACATGTACATAAGAAAACATTAAATGTACAATTTGTGGTACTTCTCATTTAGCAAAGGCATACCTTGTTGTCCTCCCAATAAAGAGCAAAACATTCATCCCCTGGTCTCCAACTTTTCCCATACTCCACGTGAATCGATGGTTCTAATATTTTCTCTGGTTTGATGGGCCCAGATCTCCTTTTGGGACCAGTGTTGTAATATAACATTTTATCATCAAAAGATGGAATCGTAGTGGGTCCTGATGATTTGATAGGTCCTATTCGTCTTCCTTTCTGATGATGTTCAGTATCTCCATTTGGTACAGCATTAAAATTATCAGTTCTACCAGGATTTTGGTAATCACTATTAACATCAAAATGTCGCTCACTTTTTACCATAAAGGCTTCACTACTTATTGTCCGTGCCTTCCTATCACAAAAATTTTCAGAATTATGTATTTGGTTTTCCCTTTTCCCGCGTTTCTGGTTATTGTTGTCTGTAGTATCTTGAGCAGAGTTCTCCTTGAATTCTGTGAAAGACACCCCTTTTCCTACTCTGTTTTGCATATTGTTATCCCTTTTTTTGAAAGTAATATCACTCTGGTGAGTAGCTACGGGATAACCCATATCCTTTGGTCTGTCATTCCTAGGATAATGTCTGTCACTCTTATTTTTTTCATCTGTCCAATGTTCTAAAGAGTTGTGCCTTTCAGGACCTCTGTTTCTTGGTAACCCACCACTTTCCAAAGCCTGCCTTGAATTTTGAATATCCCTTTGAAAACGAGGGGGTTTCTCATTCCTTGGTTGTCTCATGTCATTGCGAGAAACATGTCTTGAATGATTCTCTTTGACGCCATTCTGTTCTGTATTCATAACTTTGTGCTGTACTTGATGTGGTGGCTGAAATTGCAATTTTGGTTCTACAAAGAAAAAAATTATTTCAATTACTAACATATTTCACACAAACATATTTTAGAAATACTGTTTCAGATCCTAACTGATAAAGCAACATTACTATTTAGACAAGTATGCAGTATTTACCTTTGTGATGCAGAAATGGAGTGGTACACGGAAAATTTAGCAAAAGACATTTGAACTGTAATTCCTAGTTACTGGAAAACATATGTTACTCTGGGCTGTACTTAGAAACAAACCACCTACCAGTATGAGGAAAGCTGGGTATAAATTTCCAAGAGGTTACTCATTTCTCCCTATGGACATCAATAACTCATTTGAGTCACAGCAATTTAAGACAGAAAAATAGAATTCCAACATGGAGAAAGGAAGAGGGAGAAAAATGAGGAGAAAAAAGGAATACTTTTAATCTGAATTGAAACTTTCTGTAAAAATAACCTGTTAATAACTATTCAGCATAAAAGACAAAGGCAAGAAATAGAAGTGATAAAATAAACACAGCTGACAAACTGTAGATAACGAGAATAGTAACAAAGCCCAGAACTCTGGAGACTCTGATCAATGAGCCATAACAGGAGCCGCTCAAGCACTACCTTCCAGAGATTCAACCAGAACTCTAACTGATGCAAAGAAAAACAAGATTATCATGGATCTCATGAGAAAGAGCAAACTTGCTATGGGATGCTGGGGAGGAGGGGAATTGTGAGGATCTGTGAAACTTTTTATGGAATTTTATTTTTTTAGGCAAACATAGAATTTTTAATGGGATGTTTAGATGAAGAGCCAAAGGACAGGAAAGATCAAGATGAATCCAGGAGGAATAAGCATGAGAAAATAAAGAAGGAATGAGATTAAACAGGATAGTTGCAGGTAAGCAGGCTCCTGGTCAATACACTTGCTGGGCCAACTCCTGCACATGATCACTGCAGCCTGTCATCTCCTTATTAAACTTTTAAGTTTAAATGCACCTCTTCATATCTCCTTTACAAACGGAACATGAAAACACTGGTTTTCTTTGGTTTATATCTGTAGCTTTTCTGTAAGTATCTTCATTACACTTTTCCTCTTCTATATAATACATACCTGTCTTCTAAATTTCCTTTCATCTAGAAAGGTTTATCTTCCTAATTAAGTCTTCCTTCATTACATTCTTAATTTATACCTCTACTCCTCTGGCAGTAAAATCCTTGGACTTCCACTCTTCCTATTCCCAAACTAAACTCTCATGTGTATTCCTAATGTTAACTACACATGAAATGATTGAATTGTTTGATGACCTCTCAATGTTTACTGCCTTGTATACACCACTGAACAAATATGTGTATAATATGTATAAAATTGTAAAATACTTCATTGTAAATCATCTTATTTAATATTTTGTAACATGAAATTCATTAAACAAAGTCACTCACACCGGGGTAAAAGTAGAAATGGGGTAAAGACTAGATTGGGCATATTAATATTTTGCTAGTTGGCAGGATTTTGGGATTGACTTAGAATTTAAATGTTTCCTCTCACTGGCTGTCATTTGACCTTTTTCTAAATGAAGAAATATTTTCTGAGCTGAGATAGGGAATCACCTCAGACAGCGTATAGTACATACGAGGATTCTGTACAACTGCAAGACTTATCTCCAAAGCATGCAAAGCAGTTAGAATACTTTAGTTAAAGCCTTGAGGAAAAAAATGGAAATATATACATATTCTTCTATAATTGGAAAAAAATTTACTGAAATTTCTACTTGATTTCATAGCATGTAATAAGTAATTTTAGCTATTGTCTAGGCGCCTTACTGAAAATAGCTAGTTTTACTAGACACCAAAAAATGCAGGTGTAATAGATCTCTGAGCAACCTACTCCTGTCACACAGCTAAAGAGATCTTCTCTTTCTACTCTTCTTCCACCTCTGTGACCTGCCTTCCAATAAAAAGTTACAAGCATTCTCACGTGAGAGAATATTTTCTGTCTTTAGAAAGGCAGGATTGTCTTGTCTTCCCCTCTCCCTTTGCAATCCAAAACGTATCCCCACACTAGCTACTATGAAGAAAAAACAATCCTCTCAGCTGAAACCAGGACACAATATTAATCTTCAAAATTTAGAAAGAAAGAAAGAATTCAGAACTCAAATGCTATTCATCTACTTCATAAGAATTATCTGTAAAATAGGACTTTAAGAAATCTCATTTAGGGTTATAACCCACTATTCCACAAAGAAGCATGAAGACTTAAAAGAATGTAACTGCTAACAATAAATGTGTTGCTGTTTTTAACACTGGCATGACTAGCTCCACCTAGAACTAAGCAGGTAGGAAGAACTTCTATTAGCTCCTTTTTTTTCAAGCAACAGAAATTTTAATAGTAAGTTAATAAAAAAAGTCATCTGCTACAGATCGATTAAACAACAAATTTATAATATATCAGCTGCAGAAGTAGGACTATTGGATGATCAAATAAGTTATTTCTACCCAACATAATGTGATCATGATACAAAAGCAACAAGCTTGACTTTAAAGTGCATTGGAACTTCTGGTTACAGAATTTTTTTAAATAGTATGGGAAAATTAAAATAATCATAGAATGGGTTGGGTTGGAAGGGACCTCAAAGATCACCTCATTCCAACCCCCCTGCCATGGGCAGTGACACCGTCCACTAGACCAGGTTGCCCAAAGCCTAAACTAAATGTTAGCATGGAAAGAGACTAGAGAATTTCAAAACAGTGAACAAGCACCTTTTTTTTCTAGGTCTATTTACTGTGACATGCAAAAGCTGCTCACAACACACCTGAAATTTTCCCACTCTAACCTTAAGATACGTAAAATCTGGCAAAGTGATGTCTTCTACGAAGATGTAGTTATTGTGCTAAAAGCTTCCCAGGGGACTACATCATACACAGCAGCCTTGAACGAGCAGGACTTGTTAACCAATTGTTTAACATTCAAGCATAATCCATTCACAAATGGGAACTGTCAAATAACAGAAAGTGTTATTTTGTCAACAGTAGCCAAAGAAAAAAGCCTAGAGATGAGCATATTACAGGTTCTTCATGAATTTGTGCTGTCTGGCCTAATCAATAAAAAAAATGAAGGGAATCTAAAGCTTCTTTAATAGAAAAAGTTAAGCGATGAAGGACATTACTCAGAGATTGCCTATTGTAGCTGCTGTTCCTTACTTCTGCTTCTTCTTGCCCCATCTCCAACGAACCATTAGCTAATGTTCCCAAAAAGTAATAGCTCCAACAGGGCAGTAACAAACAAATATTAATTTGGCATTTAACAAGAAGATTTGGAACACTATTCTGTCAAGTAGCGAGATACATCAGCCCATCATCATCATTGTAACCAGACATTTGGGAATGTGATCTGGAAAAAGTCCATTACAAAATTAATGACAAGGCTTTTGTCACCTGCTAGGTAGTTTTAAGATGACAACTAGTATTTCTCAGTTTGAAACCATCGGTTAGTTATTTTACTCATTTTATTTTTTGTATGTGATGACCCAAGATGACTGTACAGAACCAATCACATTCCCTTGCTTAGAAGAAACCAGCAGGACCTGCTGCAGTTGGAAATCCCGGCCAAGGCAATTTAGAAAGCACTGCTCCATGCACAATGGAATTTAAGTAGTATGGTTTCTGCAGCTCTCTCCCATGGATTTTATCATGTTTAATAATGTGGTTAAACTCAAAAGACAGCGGCCCTTCCCATACCAGTGGCAATGAGTTGGCTTTCTCCTTCCAACCCGAATTATATTTTTCTCTAACTTTATGAAAGCATGCCTTTGAGACAGCTACGCCCAGGGCATGTTCTATCTCATACCGGCCAAAAGATTAAAAAATTAGAAGGAAATTAATAATACATTTGCACATACTTCATGTCATGGAGTAAAATTCCAGTTACTCAAAAGCTTTGTCAAGTTACTTAAATATCAATATAATTCTTTCTAAAAAGTAGTAACACTGAGGAACTGGAACCTGAGTTCATGTTTCTGTTCAAATACAGTAAATACAAGCTGAGGATGATGATAATAATAAAGAAGTGACAAAAAAACAAAAACATTCTGCCATTGTGTTCACTACAAATTTGAATTTACAGGATTAAAGGACTGAAACAATTTTTTTTTTATTACTCCTTAAATGTATGAAATTTGCTATATTTTTCTCTCATGCATCTAAAGAGATGTTACTGACAAAATAAAAATACAAGTCTCCTAAGATATGTGACCAATGCCAACATAATACCACAACAAAAATAAGTTTGATTTTCTTGATATTCACAATCAATAGTGAATTAAGTTCAATTTTTAGAAGTAAAGCTGCATAATAAACATGACTATTTCGCAATTTGGATCTCTTACTGTCAATAGGGCATCATGTTTGTTGAAAATACAGTTACTAAATGGTAAACTTGAAATGCTACAAATTCCCTTTAACTCCAAAAGACAGACTCTTCTTTCCTCTCAAGTTCCCTCTCCCCAGATATTCAAATAAATTCTGCGAGAAAGAAAGGAAACAGTTTTTAATTAGATTCTAGTCTATTGCCATCTTATTTCAAACCTTTAACTTATTTTGGCAATATATAAAGCATAATGGACTAAAACAAGAAAAAGACTGTTAAAATTAGACAAGATATACTAGCCTCAAATTGTCCAAACAAGATGTTACCACATAAAACCAAAACAAAAAACTCTACACATCACACATCCCATATATCTGAAGCATAAACAGTTAAGTAACCGAAGGACAGAAATTCAAATCTGAAAGCCTTGTCCTTTTGGAGATCTCTGGGGCTGGACGCCTAAAAATTTCAGTGTGTGCCCTGCTTGCAATAAATGCTCACTCTCCACTAAAGTCCTATTTCTTCTGAGGGAAATTTGGGTGAAGAATTAATATGAGATAGTAAGAAAACCCCTGCCAAAGGCAATTGTTTGCAAACCCTCCTACAAGGTCAGTACCTTTTTTGTCATTTATCTGCTGCAGACAACACTGGCGGTGGAGAACATATGAGT